CCTTTTTGGTTTTCTTCTAGCCTTACCAATGCTTCATAAAGTTCATTGTTCCACAAATGTGCCAAGACTAAATGAACCACTCATTCTTAGTTGCAAAATTCATTCTTATTTTCCGGACACCCTTGAAGTCTGTTGGAGTAACGATGATGGAATTCTAGACAGTTCTTTTTCAACTCCACCCACAAAAGGTGCTGATGGGTTTTACTTTTGCATCAGCAAGGTCCAATATTGCCCCCAGGTGGTAGATTCTGGAAAGAGGTTTGTCTGCAGAGTTAACCTTGAAGGCTCAAAAGCATACAAAAAATCTACATGGCAGATGAACACTGTGGGTAAGTGGAGCAGAAAAACTACAATTTTTGTTATTCTATACTGTGCACTGCATATTTTACTCTTAAGGCCTTAGGCACAAAGTAGTTCCCATAAAGTGCAGCTCCTTTTTGCAAACAAACAAAAAAGTTTCCTGTTCCTCTCATGTAATTCCATTCTTTTAACTTATACTTCTAAAGTTTTACTGCTATTATAATACTAGTCACCATCTCTTACTTTTTATCTTGCTGTTCTCTCTTTCAATTCTTCTCCTCCCACATTGCCACAAGGTATGGATTCAATTTAATTTCCTTTCTCAGAATAATATTCCATACATCTCAGAATAAGACTCCTTTATACAGAATGAGTATAATAAATACATCTATTGATATTTAGGTCATAAAATCCCTTCCTTCCTTCCTTCCTTCCTTCCTTCCTTCCTTCCTTCCTTCCTTCCTCCCTCCCTCCTTCCCTCCCTCCCTCCCTCCCTCCCTCTCTCCTTCCCATATAATTAGACAGATGTTAGATTTCTGAAATCCATAAAAATCCATGGTAGAATTCTGAAGCGTCACAAGGACCAACCTGATCATAGAAGGGGGAGACAGACTGTATGTGCTCTCAGGCCAGGGTTTGACTTTGGTATCTGAAATCAACTCAATTCTATCATGCAAAATTCTTTTGGTGAGTAGGTTACTCTTTGATGGCTTATGGTATAGCTTCGTGTAATACTTGCCACTGCCAAATAGCTAGAAAATGGGCAAATATATGCTAAAAGCTTTAGTTGCATCTATGTGCAGATGTGCAGATTACAGGATCTCGTTTCTTTAGTGTGTAAATGTGCCTTATTACATGAACAACCGAAAATCTAATTCCTCACCAAATTAGAAATCTTCATCTGATATTATTTTATCATTGAGCCCATTATCTATTTCATTTTTCACCAGATTTGTGATTTATATCCATTTGGCACTTTATTGTGTTTGGATGATGACTTTGGCACTTAGTTGTGTAAGCTAAATAGCCGTGTGGGAAGAGAACTTTGTGTTTTGACTTCACAAACTGTGAAGTTCTGTACTGAATACTAACTGATATTTGCTGTTGTATTTTATTTATAGAACGTGCCCCCAAAGTTTGCAAAATTGAATGTAAGCCCCCTATACCCGAGTGTGGGAAACCCATCACATTGAGTTGCTCATTGACAGACTACCATCCACCTGAGTGTGACATTTATTGGAGAAAAGGCTTTGAAGAGCTCACGGATGCTACAGTTAAAACAGAGGAGCCCCAGTTGGACCAAACATCAAAGCTGTACTCCAGGACAAGTGAAATAACCTTTATACCCAGCGCAGAAGACCATGAAGTAGACTTCTTTATTGAAATAAATCACTGTAACAAAATTTTACAGGAGAGACATACAGTCATGCTGCAAGGTGATTGTTATTATAGCTCTAATTTATCCAGCCTCAGTCTGTTGCCTTCCAGATTTGGGGGATTGATTG